GATTATAACAATTAGCGCTAAAAACTGCTACAACAATCAACTAACCTTGCATGTTTCATCTTTGATTGATAACCGAATCTGACAGTGGAAAAACAGTGATGACTGATCGGCAAATTTGAACACCTATCAATTTCGATGATGACAACATTCAACATACAATATTTTCTCTTCTCACGATTTACAACTGATATATTGAGTAATTGTTGATGTTGTTTTCCTTTTTTTTTTGCAATTTTTTTTTGTACTTTATAACCACTTTACAATACAGCAATTGATTACTCAACTTTTTAGTAGCAATAATATTATCAAAAAAAAGAATGAACTTCTTGATTATTTAAATATTATTTTGTTTGACAATTGCACATATTTGCCTACATATATCATCTATACTGTTGAATATTTTTACAGAAGCATTATTCAACCAGTGAAACTAAAAAAAAGAAAAAAAAACCACTTTTTTTTTGGTGAGATAAAGACTGAAAAAAAAAAAGGGAAGAGACAGAAAAATGGAGAAGGAAAAAAGATCAGGTGTGACATTATAGCAAAATTTTTCTTTTTTCGTTTTGAAGCAATTTTCTTATTAAAACACAACAAAAAAGGTTATGAGAATATCAAAGGTCAACTGAATTATACTGTCCAGGTCATCCATTATTATTATTATTAATTTTTTTTTTCTTTTGCATATAGTATGCAGTTTTGTGCTTTTTTGCTACCTTTATAATTAGAAAGAAAGTTTTTTTTGTTTCAAAGGAGGAACAACGAAAAAGAGAAAAATTGAAACCATTAGTCTCAAAAATTCTGTTTCTTTTCTTTTTCGTTTTTTTTTTTTTAAACAGGTAATTACCTGTGAAATTTGCCCACCAGTCAAATCGGAAGTATATTCAAGATTATCCAACAAATATCTATCAACTGTACAACCATTTTCGTCCAACAACTGTACCTCTCGTCCACCATCTTCTTCGACGGTACACGAATGTATTGTTGCGCAATAAACTCCTAAACCTAAATGAACAGCTTTGGTATACAGACTGCCGTATTTTTCCCTTTCCCAAAATAAACTTACAGCAACACTAAAATATTCAGTAAACCAACAATAATATTCAATTTTTCTTTTTTTTTTTTGCTTACCTATAATCAATTAATGCAATTATTATTTGTTATTATTTGCTGGCGTTACTAGAGTGTAAAAAAAAAAGAAACAAAAGCAACCCTAATTTATTAGGTTAATTAGGTGCCAAAGAGGAAAAAAAAAGGAATACATTGAAAAAGAAAAAAAAAACAGCGGTCAATGACACTAAAAAAACAATTTTAAAAAACTTTAAAAAATTTTCTGCAAAATATTTTATTCACTATTACTGTTGAAAACAGAAAATTTTTTCTCAAGCATATAAGATTGCTTTTTTTTT